ACATGTGTTCTGTTCGGGAGGGGAGGGGAGAGGCCTGGAAGACACAGGGCTAGCTCTGGAGAAATCCCATAGGTAGAGAAGCCCTTAAACAAGCTGCTTGAAGCTGGAGTGCAGGCATATCGCACAGGAGTCCTGTCTGGTTAAGCACAACATAGGCTTTAAAATGTTTTTCCAGAAAATCAGTAGGTCGATCTGGGTCACGTGCGAGTAGCTTGTGGTCCTACAGATGTTTTGGCCACTACAGTTCGCCACACTGACAATGCTGTCTAGACAGAGGCATGCTGGAATGAATGGGAATGGTTTGTCATGTCTGCCTTAATTGCCACTCAGATCAATGATAATGAATTTAGGATAATGATAATGCTCATTATCAGTGATAATGTTCCCTTAGCTTGCCCTCAAAACCGGCTGGGCTGAATAAAGTGCAGCACCATCAGCAGCCCAGGGCAACACACAGTCTGATGAACTCCCTGGCTGACCACAGCCAACGTGCAAGCTGGAACAAGGACCAGTGAAAACTGGCGATGGGGAATCCTGGTTTGCACTTAATACTAAGCCATGCTGTGATTTGTTGACTTGTCCTGGCAAACAAACCAAAGTCTGCTAGCCAACTGTAGAGCAGAGATGGAATCTATGGTTTGTTGGTGGTGTACAAAGCTTACTTGATTAAACCAGGAGGGGGCAAACAGTTGGCTCTCCAGATGTTTTGGATCTTAGCTTCTAGCACTCCTGACTAAGCTGACCAGAACTTTTGGAGGTGAAGTCCAAAACAGCTAGAGATCTATCTTCTGCCCATCCCTGTTTTAAACTGTGGCTTGTCATATGTCTGAATCCTGAACTCTGGCTTATCCTTGGCTTGTTTGCACTATTGACTCCCCAAAAGCAGAAGCAATGACCAAAACCTGTTTGAACATGAAACTGCTGTGAAGCCTGGAAAAATGGGCAAGAGAGAAAGGAAAGAGGGAAAACAAATCATGAAGAGGGAAACAAGCCAATGTCCCATTCACTGATCTGCAGGGCAATGCATTGTGAAAGTAAGAAATCACGGTTAATTTAAATCATGGCTTGGTTTCCAAGAGCATGCAGATCCTGGCAAGGGTCAAGCCCAGATGCATTGTGGGGAAATTAAATTGGTAGGATGCCCAGCATCCTGGTCAGGTGCTCCTCTTGGGACTAGACCCTCTTTAAAGAAAAATAATTATAATGGGGTGTCAGTGTTGGAGCAGATGAGCACTCTGGGTAATGGGGTAGTCTTTGCTGAATGACCAACTTGGGAGAAAATGCCCTTGTTTAGTTCAATCTCTGCTTGAAGTACCTCTGTTAAAGGCAACCCAAGTCCCTCTTCATTGCCCCAGAGGGTATATCCCCTTGGATTCACCTCTCTGTGTATTAAGAGATATAGGCATGAATTATTAAGTCTTTGGTGTCTCATGAAACAGCCATCCGTTCTGAGTTCCTTTTGTTTGCTGTCTTTTGGGCCAAGCTGCTCCCATCTCTTTGCATTTACTAAGTTCCACCAGCAAATGCCAATATCTATTTGGAGACTTGACAAACTGAGAGTGCATAATATTTGCAGCGTCGTGGTTGCGATACCCAGTGACAAATTTGTGCAAATTTAAGTACGGCTTCCGCTGAGCTAGAACAAGCTGGGAGGGGTCGCGGAGAGGCTGTTTCTGTTTGGGAGGTGGGTCATAGACTCTGACCAGAGAAAGTTACACTTTATATTGTGTAAGCAAAATGAATGAATTGTACACGTCTCAAAAAAGATGAATTAAACAAATTAAAAATCCCCCTTACATGCTTTTTATAGCACGTAGCTGGATTTTCCATTGTCTCCTGGGCTAAAATGACCTCAATTATTTTTAACTTCAGACAGTATTGCTTGAACTTTCCAGGCTGGCTTTCTAAACACAACTTTACTTGGCTTAGCACTTCGTTACTCAGACTATCACAAGGTGTCAAATGCGAACCAGCTAATGAGATATCTTTTGCCGTCTTGTCCTTGAATCCTACTTGGGCATTAGGGTGGCCACGGACATGAGTCCAAAGTAGAGGAAACGCATCACCCCAAGGGCATGAAAGAGGATGGTGATTTGTGTAGCCTTCACATATGATCATCTTTATGCATAAATGCAAATTTAAAAATAAAAACTATGACTGAACTGGAAATATATCTCATCTGGCAAGGAAGGTTGGCCTGGTAACTCGTTTGACTGTTCACATGTGATAACTCTTGGTAGACAACACCTAGGCTCTTTCCTCCTTGTCTTTCTTATGGTTCTTCAACTTTAAACAAGATTTGGACTGGACAGTATGTCAATAGAGGACATCTTCAAACATAGGGCAGTCCTCTGACAGGTCTTCAAAGGGAGGACTGTCCTCTATAAAGCAAGTCATCACCCATATTCCCAGGCACTGCTTTTCCACAACTTACTTGAATACCTCCAATTTCCATCAAACAGGAGAAGCAGCCTTAATTTCTTCTTCTCCCCTGGGACAATTAGTTTTGGACTGAGCATGGGTGGGGGCAGGAGGGGGGATCCAAGCAGCATAAATACCCCCTTCGCTATCACATTGCTCTCATTTCTGTTGTTTACTGCACACATATTTTAAGAATATGCAAAATGAGCCTTTAAACACCCTTCCTTATTCTGGTGCCATGAGAGATGTGTTGGCCCACAACTCTCATAATCCCCAACCAGCACTACCAGTGTTGCTTGGGTTTGTGGGATTTGTAGCCCATTGCATCTGGAAGGCACCAGGGTGAGGGAGACTATCTTAAATATGTTATATGAGGGGTAAAAAAGATGGTGATGTGACATAGAGAACTTAAACTCAGGTTTGCACAGGATCCCTTCCCTTCCCTTTAGTTCAAGGGGCCAATGACATTTCTTCAGACATTCTTCTGGTGGTTCCAGTGGAAGGAAAAGGCCCCAAATGGTAGTTCGCCGAGTTGCATGTGCTTCTAAACAGCCCATTCATACATGCTTTAATTTTATATGGAAATATCCGATTTTCCTATGGATACTGGCACCAAGCTTTTTTTCTCCCCCTTGCTCTTTAATTGAGTAATGGGGAGAGTCGTCCTCTAAGGCCCAAATAACATGTAACGGGCTTCATTCTGTAGACTGTCTCTTAGGAGATGAAAGAAATCATTTGCTATTTCCTTCCATCCATCCCCTGAAGGATTTAACATTGGGTAATGCATTTTATCCATCACAATCAAATCCCTGTTAAGTGTATATATTGTGTTGTGCTGATAGTACTGGACCATAAAACATTCCATGCTGTTGAGGACCTGATATAACATGCATTTCTGGCTCTGCATTTCTGGAGCAAGAGGTTGGACGAGATGGTCTTCTGGCCCCTTCCAGCTCTTCCAGTTCTATGAAACCTGGGAAGAAGTGCAGCTTCATGATGGATTGCTCATACGGATGGTGACACTTCCCTGAAGCTTCATTACTCTGTCCGGAAGATATGCTTCTGTTTATGTAAACTGCACTTCATTTCACCTCTCCAAATCCCACACCATCATTTGTTCTGATTAGAAATGTTTCTGAAATGCCAGCACACGTTGGAGGAGGAAGAGATGTTTTGTTCTTCTAAGCCAGCCTTGCCAACTTGTTCCATTTCTGAACGTGCTGGGCTGCAAGCCCTGTGCTGCCAGGGAATCATGGGAGTTGTAGTCCAACACTTGTCAAGTTAGGGGAAGCAGTTCTCATCCCATCCAGATAAATATAGTGAACGGTGAATGGCCCCTGATGACTAGCAAGGGCGTGAACTGTCAGAATGAAGGTGCGGTTGTTGTTGTTGGGGATTTTTATGAGCTCTCAGTGGTAGGGCCTTTCTTGAGGCCGAGAGATCTGGCTGGGAACTTCAAGGGCATGCACACTCCTGAACGTTGAGCAAGCAACCACGGTTGTTTTCCTTGGCAGCACGCTCCTCAAAAGTATGATCCGTGCACACATAATCCCATCAGGGATTCTTCTGGATCTTGCTTTATATCAATAGGATCAGCTGTTGACACATACTGAATTTTAGATATTCCACCTTGGTTGGTTACAGAATCTTATTGTTCCTCTCTCTAAATGGATGGTGTGTGTTATCAGTTTTTTAGCTGTCAAAAGGGCATGGGAAATTCCTTGATGCTGACCATTAGTTACGTAACAGCAGTCACTGTTTTGTCTCAAGTCACCCTCCAATATAGCCAGGTGAAACAACAGAATCAGTTCTGGAACCAGTGGAGTCAAATGGCCCTTGGTCCCAGCAGAACCAACAAAGAGGCCCTTCCAGGCTCATCTCTTTCTTCAATGCAACTACTTGGGTGGTGGTTGGAAAAACATCTTTCCAGAGTTTGAGGATGCTGAAAAATATCCTAGAATATCTCAATCAGGCACAGAGTGTTTATGTCAACTTCTGCATTTGGAGCACATGAAAACAAATAATAAAGTAACTCATGTTTGTGTTTTTCTTCCATTATAGAAGTACAAATATAATTTGCTACAGAGGATCAGCTGTGAAATAGAGGAACAGAAGAGGACTCAGAATGGAAACAAAGTTTGCTGCATTGCTGAAATTGTAACACAACAAAGGATATTTGTTTTTCTTCACCTCTTCCTCATGCACATCTTTGGCATATCCAGCCCTCTGTGTCAAAACAAAGTTCACTGGAGAAAGAGCATGACCAATATAAGAGCTTCTTGCTCTAATGGATTCTGTGCAAAATAAGTTTCAGGATAATAATCAAGAAGACACTGAAGATGGTTGCAAGCAGAAACTCTTATGTTTTAGAGAAACAAATTCTAACAATCCCCCAGAAGAAGAGTATTATTTTTTAAAAGATAATATTTATTCCAAATAAGACTTAAGGATAGTGTGGAAGGATTGGCAAGCTTGATGGTTCTGCACAAGAAACCAAGATGCTAAGAAAGCAGGCAATAAAGATATTTTTCATTTGCAGTTTCTCACACTGTCTGTCTCCTTCCCATTCCTCTACACGGGTACCCAAAGCAGCTTAATCTTTAGCTAATTGCACAGGATTTCCATTGGTACTGACATATCCACACCTCATCAAAAGCATGATGTCTAATAACTCAAGCTGTAATGAAGAAAATGAGTTTTCAAAACGCTTCTACGCAATCATGTACACCATTATCTTGGTTCCCGGACTGATCGGCAACATTTTAGCTCTCTGGGTGTTTTATGGGTACATGAAGGAGACGAAACGAGCTGTGATTTTTATGATCAACCTGGCAATTGCAGACCTGGCCCAAGTATTATCTTTGCCGCTACGGATTTTCTATTACATCTCAGAAAACTGGCACCTGGGCAAAGGGGTCTGCATGTTTTGCTTCTACCTGAAATATGTCAACATGTACGCAAGTATCTACTTCTTAGTTTGCATCAGTGTGAGGCGGTTTCTATTCCTCATGTATCCCTTTAGGTTCAAGGACTGCACACGGATTTACGATGTGTACATTTCCATTGCTGGATGGATTGTGGTATGCATTGGTTGCTTGCCTTTCCCCCTTTTGCGACTCGCGTCAAATGATCATCGTACCAGCAACACGTGCTTTGCGGATCTTCCCATGAAGGCTGTTGATGGCACCATCTCTATAGCAATGATGACCATCGGAGAACTGGCTGGATTTGTAACCCCTTTGACGATCATCCTGTATTGTTCGTGGAAGACCGTCTTATCGCTCAAGGAAAACAGTTCCGTTTCCCAAGACCTCGGAGAGAAACAGAAAGCTCTGAAGATGATCTTGACCTGCACGGTGGTCTTTCTTATTTGTTTTGCCCCTTACCACATCAGCTTCCCTTTGGATTACTTTGTGAAATCCAACAAGATAAAGGAGTGTTCCACCCGGAAGGTGATTTTGATATTCCACACAGGGGCTTTATGTCTTGCCAGTCTAAATTCTTGTGTAGATCCCATCATTTATTACTTTACCACCAATGAGTTCCGAAGACGACTTTCAAGGCAAGATTTACAGGATGGTACTCCGCACCATAATGAACACTATGGAAATACAAATGGCCCAGAGCAGAGAAGTACCATTGAGTGAGTGGGGGCAGTGGGGGGGAATCCAAACCACGTGCTCTGAAAATGACTCTACGGACTCAAAAGCCTCTGCTGGCCTTGCCTATTTTTGGATGATTCAACCAGTGGACCATAAGAACAGACATCACCTTGACTCACACATCCGTCAATACTACTGATTTTAAATGCTGTTCAGAATTACATGAGCAACTATATCTGAATGCAACACGGAACTTACATGTTAGGCTAAATAGACAGCATTGCTTATCAAAAAGTGGCATAGGGCAAAGCTTTTTTTTTTTATCATGTGTTTATCCAAAGACACAATTACAGTTCCTGCTTCTTGGAAAGCAAGGGCAACACACAAATTGCCTCCCTTCTGGGTGCTGAAAGTAGACACTCTTAATATTACAGGAGGGAAGGTGGTTAGAGCAGTGTAGTGGGACACCGGTGATCCTGCTTTTAGTCCCACTCTGCCATGATGCTCAATAAGGGTGAGCCACCGATTCCCAGCCCAGCCTACATTACAGGGTAGGGTTAAACTGAACGATAAAATTCCACCGACCCTTTAGAATTTTTGCACCAGGGCAACCCCTTTTTATTTTCCCAGTATTTTAAAGGTTGATGGTTTATTAAATTGGAATTTTATTATGTATTTTAAATTGTATTTTAGTGTGCTGTGACTGGTTTGTGAGCCATCTCGAGACCCGTTTCAGGTAAAGACAGGGTAGACATGTTTTAAATAAGTAGGAAGGGTGCCATGGGCTTCTTGGAGGAAAAACGGGGAGATACAAGCAGAACAGATCCATGGATCGATTAAAATGGGTGCTGCTGAAGAATAATGACACCACCTTGCAAAGGAAGTTGAGAAACTTTGGGATGCACTGCTCCCGTTTTCCTTAAATGACAGCACTGATCAGTGGTATGAAATTCCACTTGCTGTTTTCCTGGAGTTTTAAATTTCTTTTGTACAGGGCAAATATACTGTGAACTGTTAATTTAATATGTCTGAAGGATATAATTTATATTAAAAACATTTTGGTACTATAATAAACTGGATATACTGTGATTTATTTATATTTTATACCACCCAATACACTCAACTGTTAGCTGCACTGCTTTAAAAATAATATGTGATCCAAAGGTCACATTATTTTTAGGATTATTTTAAATCCTAAAAATAATGGGGGTGGGGAGGGTTGCCATAAAGTTTTTTTTTTATGATATCCCCCTCTCAGGTGCTGACTTTTCTACTTTGCTTTCTGGGATGCAGTTTTACCCTCCGTATTTTATGTCATGTGTTACTGATTCCATTGTTAGCTACCTAGCAGCAGTGGGATATAAAACAGGAAACAGACATGTAAATAAATACATTTATGCGAGCAGAAAAACACCTTTGGATTCAGCCATGTCTAGCTGTATTAGGGCTCTTTCACCCCTCCAAAATTAGGTGCTTGATTCCCAGATCATGCTAAAGGCCTAGGTGCATTTGGGAGGTATTCTAAGTGCCAGCCATCATAAGCAACTACTCCAAAGACCATGTTCCCTGTTTGGCTTCTCATTGGAGGACTCCATCACAGTGAAGACCTATACCAGAATATCTGTTCCTGCTCAACATCTGCCTAAGAATTCAGACTTTTGCAGAGTAGAAAGAAAGTGCTTCTAGATATACATTTTTAGAAGCACACTGTTAGATTTCCTGCAAAGAAAGGGCAGTGACTGAAACATGCTTCTAAAAAAATACAGAGTTACCCTCTGCTGCCCACCCGTATCTGCCACTTGAGGCACCTCATGCTGCCTCTTGGTAGATCCACCTCTGCTGAGCTGAATCACTCTTGCCCTATTTCACAAGCAGGGTTGGGCTTTGCTAAGCCCCTCAGTGATTCTCTGCTTCCACATGACAGCCAGGTTTCTGCCTGGAACAAAAGCACCTGCTGCCCCCGCCACAACTGCGTGGCAGATCGCACGTGCCTCGTTCTGTCAACCCCCTGCTCGTTTCTGCCGCCCCCATAATGGGTGAATGGAAACCACAGAACTTGTTAACCATGAGGAGGGAAACGGCAAGAGCGAGCAGAGATCAAACATGCCCAGCACCCTGCAGCTGACGGAAGGAAGCCAGCCAAGACGGGGCACACAGCGGTGGCCCAGATGGGACATGAGCTCCTCTTGTGAAGGAAAGGCAGCTCACCAGCATCTCTGCCCCCGATTGCTTGCTACTGGCAAATCCAAGAGAGCGCAATGGGCTCTTTTCTCTGAGATAGGGTCTCCAACCGTGTGCCTGTGAGCTCCACAGCCTCACTGACCTCCCTCCAACCTCCCAACCCTGCTCTTCCTGATTTTATTATTTTTAAAAGGCAGTTTAGCTGGGAGGTTACCATGCTGCAAAGCTCGGATCTGCCTGTCAGGACCGTCCTTACTTGGCTCCATCAAACCGTGTTGGTGTTTGAGAGTTCAGATGCCTCCTTGGCTTGTATGTAAGATTCTTGGGCAAGTTACTGCCTTTGATCTCCCTGGTTTGCTTTCTCAGATGATAGTTCAGATGGTTCCAATGATGCCCATCATGGCAGCCCCTTTCACACGTACCGCTGGGCTGTAGAAATGCCTAAAGCAGAGCTCACAGATGCCTGTACAATAGATGGGACTGCACAGAAACAACACAGGCAAGATGTCTCTTGGATAGCAACCTGACAGGAAGCAGCATTATAAATCTGACAAAAATGGAAAACAAACACCTGTCAAATGCAAAACACTCACAAAGAGGCCTAAAGCTCACAAATCCCAAAATAAAACCTCGGTGGAAGTTCTGCTGGGAAATTTCGCGCCTGAAATTCTGAAAGGCAGATTTTAACACACCTGCCCATGATGCATGTTCACAAGTGCATTTCAGTTCATTACTGGGAAGTGAAATCTCAGAAGGCATTTCATGATGAGTCTGAGCTTCCCACCTAAAGAGACTAATAGCAATACTTCCCCTCCCTTTCAGAGTTGGTGCTAGTGGAATTACATTAATCACTCTGAATACTTGATGATTGCGTATACGCTTACTAAATAGCTCACATTCTTCATTTAATTAAAGAGTCGTTCATCCCTGTCCTGGCTTGACGATCACAGAGCAGTGGAGATCGTGTTCATAGAGCGATCACCTGAGAGGTAAAAGAGCACCCCTGCCTTAGGGAAATAAGTGTGAATCCAAACCTGCCAAAACTAGACTCACTTCCCTTCCCTTATCTGTATGCCTTCAATGGGAAACATGTCATGGTTTACCTTAGCAGTGATGGAATTAACGCACATGGATGTAAACTTGATCTATCACAAATCCATCTGAGCAGCAGTTTGACTTGCAATAGAAACAGAAACAGAGCGAGTCAGAAGGGATCTCCCAGGCCATCCCAGGCCATCTAGTCTGACCCCCGGCTCCAGCTGGCTCCACTCACGACATGCCCACCATGTGGACGTCCAGTCTATCCTTGACCACCCGCACCGATGGGGCCTCAACGACCTCCCATGGAAGCCCATTCCACACCCTCGGGGTCCTAATGTATTGGCATGTGTGATACCAGCCAATAAGAGAGCTTTGCTTCAAGGAAGCCTAGCTGCATATACAGAACCATCCACACAGAAGCGGTTTCTGCTCGAGATCTGTTCCAAAATGTTCCACACCAACAGACTGAAGCACGCAGAGCGTCTTATCATGTGCATACAGCTTCCTGGGTGGATGCCTGCAGTGTTATGTAAACAGCAACCCTTCTACAGTCAGAGTGAAAAAGAACAGGATGTTAGAGGCCTGGAATTCTGCCATTTTATTAACAAGACACCTCCAACGTACAAGGCATGGTCTTTTCCACCAAGACCAGCGCTGTTCGCTCTCTCCGCCCTCCCACGATATCCCTTTGTCTTTGCCTTTAATACCCAGCATAAAGAATGGTGGTGAACCTAAAGCTTGTTCACTACTTCTTGCAAAAAACAGAAAGGCATCGCTGTGCTGTTGAGTTTGTTCCTAATAGACCAAACAGCAATTTTTGTCCATTTCAGCCTGCATATAGTGTAAGCGTACATGAAACAGCACCCACATTACAACTGCATTTGTTAAAGATGGCATAGTGAGAGTTGCAAACGTAAGCTGAAAAAACGCAGAGCAGTGTGTAAGTGGGGAATGCTGGAGCAAAGGCAAAACATAGTGAGCAGGTTTCAAGGCATTTCTGGATTAGGGAAAAAGTCCTTTTGTTCAAGCTTTAGCATGAATATTACATGACTTTAGGGATTTATAATCCAAATCACCAGTCCCCTGATATCTATCAGCCAATAATGAAAACACATTCTAAGATACGAAACACATTTGAACACTGAAAGAGCTCACAGGAATCCCAAATCTAGAAGTTTCAGCCAGTTATGACTTTGAAACAAGCAGTTTTGACTTTATACATTTTTGAGGAAGACACTTTAAGCAATAAAAAGTTAACCACTAGAGGGCCCAGTTTTGTCATTGTTGGTGAAGCAGCACAAGCTGCACTTTTCAGAACATAATGTTGCGTAGACAGTTTTATAACAAAGGAGAGGTTCGTTTAATTCAGAAAGGTTCATAAAATCAGTTGGAGTTGACCTCTGGTGTTAGGGTGTGAATTATTGGAAACCAAGCTCCTATAAAGGGTAGGCCTCCCCTGCCACTTCAGGGTAGGAGAAAATCTCTTAGCAGACACCACCACTCTGGTCTAGTAATCACAAACTTGCCCATACATGACTTGATACTGAACACAAACATGTCAGACTAGCCCTGAAAATGTTTTTCAGTATGAAGCCCTTCTAGCTATTTCCACTTGGTAGCAAACTCTGCCATCAAGTTGACAAGTGCCAGTTGTCTACTTAGGTCTCATAATCAGGGAGGAAAGCAACCACCCTGGAGTTTTGCAAAGAATAGAGAAGGCACACTGAACAGGAATACACGGAAATGCGATGTTTCATAATCCCAGAAAGTGCACCACATGTGGTTTTGTCTGAAGGTCCCAGCCTTGGAAACATCGAAGGAGCAAGTAGCTCCCTGTGTATACAATGCTTGTAGACTGCTTGTAATGCAGATGAGTTGTTTACTTGTTCTGCATGAGCAAAGGAAGTGCTCTTGCTGTGAGCTCCACTTCCCCCAGAGAACCACCACAGGAAGTCGAACCCACTGGCAGACTCCCAAGGCAGCAAATGCAGACAAGCTGGGAAGGGTTCAGAGGAAGCAACAAGGATGATCCAGAACTGGAAGCAAAGCCCTGTGAGAAGAAATGGAAAGAACTGGGCATGTTTAGCCTTGGGAAGAGAACACTAAGGTGAGCCAGGATAGCGCTCTTCAAGTACTTAATGGTTCTATCAGAGGTGGTGGCAAGGATCTCTTCTCAATCTGAGAGACCAGGACACGGAATAATGAGCTCAAGTTACAGGAAGCCAGGTTCCATCTGAACATCAGGAAAAGCTTCCTCACTGTTAGAGCAGCACAACAATGCAAATAATGCAACCCATGACCCCACAATGGGAGCATTCAAGATGCCACTGGACAGCCATCTGAGATGGATGGTTTAACTGGGAGTCTTACACTGAACAGGGGGTTGGACCCAATGGCCTTCTGGCCCCTTCCAAGTCTAGTATTCTATGATCAGTTTCAAAATTAAGAGCTTGGATGTACACACAAACCATGAGGGACAGTAAAATGTGAAGGAGAAAATTTCTAAAAGACCACCCAAATTCTCCATCAGGGAAAGGTGAACTTCACAGCCTAATTTATGGAAACCATGTGTGTCTGTTATTCTCTAAACTGTAGGCAATGCACATAATTATTTGGAGAGGCCAGGAAACCCAAAGCCTAATGTATTCAGTCTTCCTAAGCCATTCACAAGGATTAACTTCTTCAAACACGCCTTTGGCTTGGGTGACCCACCAGAAATGCCTACAGCTTGAGATCAATGACAGGCAGACAAACTTGAGTGCACCTGCACTGTGCGCCCCCTCCTCTATCCTGCACTCCTGTACAGCCATTTCAGGAGAGGGGTGACCTGAGAGGGTGAGCACGCTTGCTTCACAGTAATTTTTCTTGTACAAAGAGGCTACCACCATACTCTTAAAGAAACATTTATTAGAGGGTTGCAGAATCTGTGTGAAATATAAAGTCCCTTATAAAACACTCAACTTAGCAGCTCACTAGCAATCCCTTTTACCATCTTTTTACCACAATCCTAAGCAAAGATAATACTTTTGCTTGCAGTATTAGTGCTACCTTGTTTATAAGAAGTTCTGCTCTAAAAGTTTCATAAGACAGGCTAGGAGGGAATTTACATCTACGGAAACATTGACAATCGGGCCAAATCAGGAAATAATTACATAAGCTTGTAGGTTAAGATGTCAAAACTATTCCAGCGCCAAAATACTAACATAAAAGCTTTTAAAGAGTAACTGTGCCTCAATATAGAACTAAATACCACAAAAACCAAAAGAGGAAAGAAGTATCAGGGTCAGTTCAGGGGAGGATCCAAATATACATACAAGTTCAATACAGTAATTGCACAAAATGAAAAAAAAAGCCAGGTTAGCCGCTTATGATTACCAATGTTAAAGTTTACATGCGTCACACATGAAGTTCAAAAAAACCTTAGAAGTCTCAATGTGTTCGTTTCTACCAGGAGGCCAAGTGCAGAACAGTTTTACAGATCTATGCAAAAATGTGCAAAACAGGGATTAATACATTAGTTTCATCATCCTGTGAAGTCAAGTGGTGATTTTGATTACATTGTATGCACGCAAATGTTTGTATTCCTGCTTTAAGAAAAGACTGCAACAGACACTCGGGTGAGTAAGCAGTTTTCAGTTTAAATGTTAGTTTCTATTCAAAATGGGTATCTGGAAAATTTATCAGCACCAGGGGTCCAAATGAAAAAAAAAGTATGGTGAATGTGGAGTTTGCGTCCTTTTTTTTTTATCTAAGCAATTCACAAAAAAGCATAAGGCTTTTGATTATCACTGCACATTTTAATTCTGAAGTTTAAGATGTAAAGCTTCAACTTCTTAATGAAGATGCGTGATTGTCAGTTTCCAACCATACTTTTCACTGCTGACAGATCTTGGTTTCAACAACAAACAAGTTCTCAAAGTGCCGGATTGAATGGCATTTTTCAGCCGAGCGCTTCTGGAGGCCTGGACAGAGGAAAAAACCATCAGTTGCACATCATATTTCAGAGGACGCAGGCTCTCCCCTCCAGGAAATTCTTGCTTATGGGCTAAAAGCGCCACTTGGAATTAGTTTACATTATGGATTCAACTGAGAAGGAAGGACTCATTGGGAAAGACCCTGATGCTGGGAATGATTGTAGGCAAAAGGAGGAGGGGATGGCAGAGGTTGAGGTGGCTGGATGGGGCCACTGGTGAGGTGGCTGTGAGGTTGGGTGTACTTCAGGGGATGGAGGAGGACAGGAGAACCTGGAGGAATGTTATCTATGGGGTCGCAAAGAGTTGGGCGCAACTTTGAGACTGGGCAACAACAACAACATAGATTCAACTGGTTTAACAGTCATTTCTTCTTCCTTGGGAACTGCAGTTCTGTACCAAGGGCTAGCGATTGGAAACCGAGAATTCTCTGTACCCTCCTCAGCTACAGTTCTTGAACTTTTTTGGGACAAGGTCATGACAGTTCAGTAAGAAGTACAGAACGGGCATTAATAGAGTAGACAGACCCAAGACTTCTGCAGGGCAATGTTACTTCTCAGGGCTTTCTACTATAATGTGGACCAAATTGAGCATGTTAGTATGAATATGGAATGGCCTATCATTCTTTCGTATGTAAAATAAGTTTATCTTAATTTACTTCTTTCCAGATAGTTCTGCTGTTGCCTCTTTGCAGAACATGCACTGGAGTTTTAAGTCAATAATGGAAAAATGAGGAAGCGACTTCCACCTGTGGATAGCTATAACCAAAGGTACTGTGAACACAAAGCCTTGGAAGTAAATGCGACTGCAATCATCCCACGGATTTGTAAGAGCGTTCTAGCTGGACTGACCGACTGCTAGAATCCCCCAGCTTTTCCAGAGAGGGTGTGTCAAAATCCTCCAGCAGTGCTAGCAGTTGGTCATATTAAGGAACAGTTGGGGGATTATATTTTGCAGGGAATGAAAGCAGGGTTGTAATTATGGCTGTCAATTTGGCAGCTGCAAAAGCTGCTCAGGGTATGCATTCACCCAATCGACACTGCTGCCGAATTTCCCATCCTGTGGCCTTTTCCTTGATGCTGTTTCCCAAGGTGCTGTTACTCAGGCAGCTTGCTCCTGGATTACAGCAGGAAGTGCCACAACACATTCCAGAATTTAGACATTTCTCCGTTAAGCCATGATGCAGTTGCAGGCATCCTCTCTGTTGTAGCAAGAGAGCAAAATAGGGCCTCTCAGGGACAAGGGACACCCCAAGATTGTCCAGATCAAATCCTGAAAAGTACAGCTTTTGATCCTCTTTAGATAGGTCTCACTCAGCCTGACACTATGCTATTAAGTGTGACTCAATTGTTCTAGTACTTCCAGATCCGAAACATTTTTCCTGTCTGTGCCTTGTTCTTCCATACACAACCAAGTCCTGACTTTACAGTGAAATTTAAAGTTGACCACTGCCAGAAGTGAGAGTTCTAATGGCTCAATAGCGTTTAGCTCAGTGTCTTGAGTTCCAGGTACAACCACTTTTTGATAAACTTAGGTTTTCTTTCTATGGCTTTCAGCATTACAAGAGAATTAAAATTTAAAAGACTCCACAGATGACTAAAACAAAGCTCCTTCAGTAAGCTCATAGGAGTCCCACTGAAGATTTTTTTTTTCATTTCCTAACCTGAAATACTCACCAACTATCTTATCTCTGCGCTGAAGTCTGAAAGTATCCTTTCCCACACAGAGCTGGTAAATGAATATGCCCAGTTCCGACACATTATCAATTTCTTCTGTCACAACCATTTCCTCACGGACAAGGTAAGTCTGAGGCAAGTAAGAATCAGTCTATGGAAAGACATAAAATATCTAATATAAATGCTTGCCAGTTTTTTCAACGGATACACAAAGTCATTTATGAAAAGCACTTTCAGCAAAGAGGGACAGTTAAGGATGGAAATGAAGTCTGCTGGAAGGAATACAGTTTTTAGGGAAATAGTTGCAAGCTCTGTAGCCAGCTGGACCGATCGAGAAGTTTAACTTGAGTCCTGCGCTGAGCAGGGGGTTGGACCCAATGGCCCTCCAGCCCCTTTCAACTCTACTGTTTCATGATCGAACAAGATTATAAGAAAACAAGTCACCACAGGACTATTCATCATTCTTATGCATGGGCCTTGGTTGGACTCAGTGAAGGGCTCAACTCTAATTACCCTGCTTGGCTGAGTTCATTCTGACACTGACCAGGAGCCTTATCACACAGACAGGGTCCAGAGTACATATCAGAAAAGGGGCAAATGCTTGTTGACAGAACTCAAAAAAGGTATTATTGTACTACCTCAAATATACCTTCAGCATCAATTCCACATATAGTCCTGAACGACATCAGTTGTGCAAAAACAACCTGCTACAAAGGCGATGTAAGACTTATGAAAGTATAAGCAAAAGAAAAGGCACCAGGACAGGATAGAACTGTGGCATGGATAATAAGATGAGCGATACATACCGCTAGCTTTGCAAAGAGATCCATTAGGTTACGTGGTGGCATGACAATGGAAGTGTTCAGAGGGATCACGTAGCAGTTACCCAGTTGCAGGTCAAGGTAGGCAGTCAGGAGCTACAGGAAAATGTACAAGGATGGTTAGCAATTTGACTATATACAATGAAGATGACATTTTAAAATTAGCACTTACACTAGAGCACAAAGTGCTTTATAGAACTATGGAAGTGGTTCAGCAAAAGCACCCCAGAACTGGGAAGTTGTCTTAAAATTCCCTCCCTCCACCAGATGGAGCCTTCTGACAGAGGAAGCGTCTTCCACTGAAGAAATGGAACAGATCCTCTGCCTTTTTGGAGGCAGCAAGATGCTGGTAGCTTTCAAATATGTATGACATACCGTATTTCAAGAGAATTTTTATGCCCGATAGATTCCTACAATTCCCAGCATTCCCCAGCAAGTAAGCAGACTTTTTCCCTGCTTTAACAAGTGTAGGATTGTGCCCTTAATCACTTCAGTCTGGCAGGAAAAAATGATAAACCCCTGGGTCAGTACTGAAAACTGGTGAGCAGCCAAGCCCAGCCTCCTTTGTTATGCTGCCTTGCGGCTGTCACCACTGAACCACCAGGGAAAGGCCCCCCGTTCCGAACTGGACTCCAGTTGCGCAACCCCTGAAAATGCAGGCCCCAAGACAGATGAACCTCTCCCCAGACCCGCCACTGTTAGTCTGGCAGCACTGCTGTTGACCTCAGGAGAGGCGGCCTGCTCCAGGTGCCTTTGCAAAGGCGGGAGCCAAGCCACGCTGCAGAGGTGGAGCGCAGAGCACCCCCTCCCAGATTCCAAGTGTGGGGTGTGTGCGCGTGTGTGTGTGTGTGGTGGGGGGGGAGATGAGCTGTGTTGTCACCAACCTTCTCCACAGGAGACTGAGCACAGCACACACCAGCAGGCGGCGACAGTGGGGAAGTGGAGAGTGCTCGAGCCACCTGGCTGGAGTGACCGCCTCTTCCCTGCTGACCTGGAAGAGCAGGTGGACAATGGCGGCCAGCGGAGGACCAAGCCACACTGCCACAGGCCTCCTCTGGGAAGGGCATCACAACTGTGCCTTTCCGTTTGAACAGAAGGATGGGGGTTATCGCATTACCTGTTACCAAAACTGAACACTAAATTTCCCCCACCGCCAAAAAGCCGGACTTTTTGCCACTCACTCTGTCAAAATCATGAACAATGGCTGCGGGATCGCTGTCAGAGAATTTTGGAACAGGGACATCAATGATGGCTACGTTATCAGCCTCCCGGATATCTGCTTCTTCAGCAATGGGCAAGAAGTACGGCTCTTCTTGATTCTCCTCTCCCACATAGCACATTTGCCCACGGAATGGTTTGTGCTAAAAAAAGAAGTCATTAGCCAGGGTGCTTCTTTAGGGGTAGATTAACACACAAAGAGAAGCCGCTCACTCACAGAGGTAACTACAGTGCTGTGCGGATGCTCATGTCACTACTCCTGAAGGGGAGGAAAGAGATGCAGCGCTGGAAATGGTTGAAATATACCCCTTTCCCTTAAAATAGGCAAGCACTGCTGAGGCCCTTTGGAGAGATCTGCCCATATGCACAAAGACGGGATTTCTGCACCACAATCTGCATCGCTCCACACTTACGTACATTGCAGAGCCCAGTGGGGTCCTAGTTTATATCCCTCCACTGAGAGAATTTACCGTTTTATTCCCATTCTCCCCTTTCTGTTCTTTAAACAGTTATCAATCTATAAGAGGATCTCTCTTATTTCATTACAGCTAAGTTTTCTTAAGGCGTTAGTCAAGGACTTTATAGTCCAAGTAAACAATGCCCGTCAGATCAGCCGTGTACAAATATTGATCAACACTCTCAGAAATATGCGAGTTTAGTGAAATGGGGCATAATACTTTTGCAGGAGCCAACACTGATTCTTTTTCACCAGGACCTGTCCTCCTACAGCCTTGATCTTGTTATCTTAATACACTTCCTACCAATTTTCAAGAAACAGACATTAATATAATCAGATTGTAATTTCACAGATTCCTCCTGGATTGCTTTAAAAGCAGTGCTGCGTTGGCCACTGCCCAGTTCTCTGATGCAGCAGATGATCTTTGGGATATACCAGATATTTTTGTTAGAGGATCAGCAATTCCACATGTGATTGTTTCCATCTGGGCCTGGTGATTTGTTAGCATTCCTTTTGTCAGTAAGGCCTAGAAATTTATCCCTTGTCACCATTACTTGCCCTAGTGACTCAGCCCCCCCACCTGAAAAATCAATTTAGGAATGGGTATTTGCTGTACATCTTTTGCAGTCAAGGCAGATGAAAATAATTTATTCAGCTTCTCTGCTGAACACTTCTGGGAAATGAAAAGAACAGGTGGGTGCAGGATGGACAGAAGCCACTGCGGGGGGGGGGGGGTGATGGGTGAAAAGATTAAAGGACTCCTGCTGGCTGGTAAGCTGGGGAGGCTCAAGAGAGCAGCAGAGGCTACCAGGAGCAGCAGTCAGCCAGCGAGAGGCAGAGGAAGGGCATCTCAGGGAAGCCGGCAAGGCAATCTGGAGACCAGGGAGGGGTGTCTGCATGAACCAGTGTGGGCTGTATGTGTGGGAGAGAAAGAGGCTATGTCTGATTCACAGGAGGGGCATTTTGAAAGGATCCTGACAGGGAGTGGAGGTTATTTTTCTTGTGCAGGGGGTGATAGTGGTAAAAGAATGGGTGGTGACCTGGCAAGAAAAGAAAAAGGATGGGAAAGGGGAAAAGTGCTTTCTTTCTGTGAAATGGGTTTCTGTTGGCACAAAAGACTACCCTGGTGGGAGTTTCATGCTTTGGGCCTCAAACTACACCTTTGACTTAAATTTAGTCCTCTGGGCAGGTTTCACACACACCCTGCACAGAACCTGGACGTCCTGCTCTCAGATTTCATGGCTCATCACTTGCACTGCCCATTCTATAGTGATGCCTACATTGTACCACACTTATACATCAGTTCTACAATACTTGGTATATTCTGCCTTGAATGGTTTGCCTACTTGATTCCATAAAAGGAGAAAAAGAAAAAAAGGGGGAGGGAGTCCTTCCATTACCTTTGGCATGAAGAACTTGGAGATGCAGGCTCCACCAACAACTACGCCTGCTAAGATGAAGGCAAGACCCAAAAGGGTCAGCAGACACCTTCCAGACGAATGTTCATGGCCATGTGTTGCAACTTCTGGATCCTGCAGAACACAAAGAAAGCATTTAAGTTCTTTGTTGCCTTAGAGACGTGATTCTTTTTTATTCCTCCTGGATGTCAGCAGGATGATACCACCCTACAAGGTGAACGATGAGGTGCCCGAGAAGTCTCTTAAAGAAAGTTCTAACAGAAGGCTATCACAGTACTTGTTTTAAACACAAACAAGAGGCTTCAACTCACATATCACTTTCAAGTCTACAGGCAGATAAACATTCCTCACGATCTTATAAAATTATGGTTCAAGTGAATTTGTCTTCCTCATTAGACTACTAAAATGTGGCTTTCATATTTTAAAAGTCAGATACAAAAGACTGCAGCTACTCACAGCCTATGCTAATGCTCCAAAGTTTTAGTTTTAGGCAACTAGGTTTTAAACACCATTTCCCACCTCCTCTCCTATGAATCCAAGTATCATTATTGCAGCTACTCCTATAAAACGTTTATAGCAGGAGGAGGAGCACTTTCTTCCCAAGGGCTAAATTCAATTTTAGAAAAAGCACTTGCAGGGTGCATTCCAGAGGTAGGTGGGAGCATCGGGTTAGAATGTAGCTGAAAGCAAAAGGGGCAGGGCCAAAATATTGTTTCTTAAAACTCTTAAGTGTCAGTAACTCAGGAGAAGCATTCATGCTTTAAAATGGAGAAAAGCATCACAAAAGCCAGGAAGCCACCAAACTGTGGCTGAAGGAAAGTGTAGCAGGTCCGATATAGCTGAAAGGCCCGAGGTTCCCCATCCACGCTCTGCAGTCTTAATATGCTAGGTGCACGGAACGTAAGTGACGGGGAAGAACAGAATGCGCTAATGCAAAATTTTGTCAGCAAGCCTCACACGTAAGATTTCCAGATTACATGGAACAAATACTCCTCCTCTAACCTCACTGTCAGAAGAGGTCATTTTTTTTCCCACAGTGCCATGTATGAATGGACTTTATCATACTATGCCATGTGGGACACTGCACTCTTCTTTCAGATAACTTCAGCTCACATAAATCACGTCATAAGTTGCATAGCTGTTGGCAGGAACCGCCCAGATCAAACTACCTGTTCAAGGTCAATTTGTGGTTCCAGAAGTGCAAGAAGAAGCACCGCTCATCACTTTGTAAGATTCCCAAGCTGTATTTAATTGGGTCTCAGCTACTCCAATGATCAAAATGCTGTGAAAATAGTCTTAAAAGTAGTGAGATGAGAACTCTGTTCACTATTTTGCCCATTCTTAGGTTTAGAAGAGGAACATGTCATGAGCCACAAAAAAAGTGTTAGCAGCAGAGTCAGAACAAATGCTGTTATGCAAACATTAATCTGGTGTTTTCTAGAAACTAAAAGATACTGTGAAAAATAAATCTAGTGCAAAAGCAGCAAGACTAGCAGCCAAAATATTTGGGGATTTGTTTTAGTGAACTAGCAGACTGGATTCAAGTATTTCAAAATCTAGTTCTTGGCCCAGAACAACTGAGGTTTTGCTCCACAGGTAATCAACAGTTTCATGGCGTGTCCATACAGAAAGGAAGATGCCACTTACTAGTCTGCCCAAGCACCTTGAAATTTAATGCTAGAATACAGGAAACCAGGAAGCTTTTTCCAGTTTTAAATATGTCATTTAGCTTCATGTAAGCCCCTTGGAAAATCAAAGTCAACCATCAAATATTCCGGTTGTAACCTGTCCAGAGCTTCAACTGAGCCAGCGTCAAGCAAAACGAAAGCAGATACCGGTGTGTAACCAAGAAACACAGATTCCCCCATATGGTGCAGCAAGCATGCCTATGAACAGTGATTTCAATTTCAGCACAGAAACAAATACTTGCATGTTACTATAGAGAATAATAAAAGCAGTTAAACAGCACTTGGACAGATTTATTTTATTTGTTTGCTCCACTCCCACTGGAATCTGCTTTAAGTACATGTTATTTCTTCTGATGTACTGTGCTTTTGAGTGCTCACTAGACCAGTGCAAGCTGGAGGACCTCCAAGATATAAATTTAGAGCAACCTGAAAAAAATCCCAACAAAAGTAACAACAAGACTAGAAAATTTACTACTCCCAATTTTATTACATTTTAATACAGCCCAAAAGGCAAATCTCTCTGGGTGGTTTTAGCCTACTCATTCCATATGGAACTTAACAGGCAAGGTGTATCTTAGGGAGGAAAATGAAGCTGAAAAATAAGACACCACAAACATTCTTCTGAGCATACTGAAGACAGGGCAACAGATAAACAGAGGAACTTTTTTTCCATCGATGCGTGGGTTAAGAGCTTGCTGAAAAATCAGGAAATGGTAAATTTAACTTTTGGCTCTTTGCATCACAAGGTGTTCAAACAATGCTTCCAAATATTAGCTTTACAAGACTACACATGACAGAAACAGTATTTAACTTATGAACAGCAACCTAGTCCAATTGCATAGTATTATATTCTTTTTGGCAGTACATGCATCAAATAAGTATAAGAATTTGAGCAAACATAAACATTTCATTTTCTGAGTTGTCATCTCCCCTAAGCAAGAATGTGTTCTGCATGTCTACTTAGTACATGGCATAAATGAGCTTTTAGTTTTATGGGCTAACCAATACTCATTTTCCAGACATTTCATGCGTTTTTGTTATAGTGCAAACCCCGAGTTCAAAACCTGCCTTATAGTCAGGATTTTGATCTTCCTAGCCTAGTGCTGTCTATTTTAAGTCTCAAGCGGCCTCTAGTGCAGGCCCTGCCCCAATTATACCTACAGAAAGAGAATGCAATATGCAATTCGAAGCACCAAAAAGAACACCCCAGATGGTGGGCACACATCTTCCAGCACCAGAGCTTGGTTGGGAGAAAAAAACTACGACACAGACATAAAATACTACTATGCCCTCCTATAACCAAAAATTCCTGAAGTGTGTGAACCATTCATTATTTTAACTCTTATATTACACCTCTACTTTAAAAAGGCTAGGTGAGACCACCATTTGAAGATACAAGGATGTTATTCTCACATCTGATCAAGGTCTGACTTGACAGCAGCTCCCACAAGGTCTCTGGAAGCAATCTTTTTCTGGCTTTGAACAGATACTTTAACTGAGATGCCAGTGACCAAACCTGGGGTCTAACACATACTCCATTAATGATCTGTAGCCTTCACCTTCTGGATTATGTGAATTCTCAACTGCAGTTGCTGAACCAAAAAGCCCAAACACAGCAATGCATTTTCTCACAGGAACCTTGGAAATGAATTGCAATACATTGGAACATCTTGTTGCTAGAAATGCAAAGATAAAAAGAAGACAGAGTTCTCACACATTTTGATTCTGTTCACAGCCTTTTAACTTAAAATGAAAGTAGATCATGGACAAAGGAAACATCTGTGACAAACAAAACTTTCCCATTTGAAGTCTGAAAAGAGTTTCCTCCTCCTGTCTGGCTGACAGGAAACTAAAGAAGATTGTCTAATCAAACTCCTTTTGAGTAAGGAAGCAGATGATCTTTATTATAATTTGCTAAAGGAAATCTTGGGTGCCTATGTGTTTAGGACCATGGCACATATGGATCCATCCATAACTCTGACGCACCATTTCACATGTAAACCTTTCTCTCAGAACTGAATATATAGTGGGATCCCATCCACATAAGGATTTCATTCTCAAACATCTTATTGTGTTCATTTTGTCTCAGGTAAGGGCAAGAATGTGGTCCAAATCTAGGTTTAGCCTACAAAGAACTTGCTTCTGGTTTTTATGCAAACTAGATTATTTGGTTTTCAGTGTTGCCACCATGAACCCTTGGGATATTTTGTTAGCTACAACTACATAATTGACATGGATTTCACTTATTGAGTTCCAGTTGTCTTCCATTTTAGGGCTTTACTGACAAACCAAAAGCACATGGATACATATGAGGATGAGAGCACTGTACACAAACCTTATAAATAAGGAAAATAAAATACAAATATTTGGTTTTCATTTTGTTTATTTTGGTAACTGCCCTAGAGTTTTTCTCTTACACAGGCAGGAAGTAGATCTGATGGTGAAATGCCTATATAATATTCTACTCAGTTCAAGCAGGATGCTACAACTTAAAATAGTCAATGAAAACTAGCAATTAGAGCTGGGTTGCACCTGTAATTATATAAACACACACATAGGGAAACACACACGGTTTAGAAAAAAGTTGTTTAGAACAGAGTTGCAGCTGGTTTGGGTTCAGGAGTTCAAGTCCTTCTCTATCATATATACCATGGCCTAAGAAGGCACCATGTATGGACAGCTGGAGTGGTGAAATGGGAACAACTGCTCTGCTCAGTTCAGCAGAGAGGTGGGAAGAGACTCTGTGGTATGCACTACAGGGAAGTTACGCATGCAGTTAAAAGCTTTGGTTGGGCATATGAGCTACAAGGAAACGTTAACCATTTTTGCTAGCACAGGGGTGAGCAACTTGCGGCTCTCTAAATGTTTTGGCCTGTAAGTCTGGCAGATGCTTATCTTTGATTTACTGCACTTTGTTTTACTGCTCCTGCGTGGCTGAGGAAGCCAGAGCCAATTTACACACAAGTTGCAAACAAAGGAGCACAACCTTCATATATCATGCAGTGGCAAAGGCTCACTTGCCTGCCAGGTCCCAGGAAATTAAGACACAGGAAAAGGAAAGCTTGCAACCATTTTCAAATAAAAAGTATATTCTGCTTTTTGTAAATACAGAATTGGAGTATGCGTTCAGGCAGAGACTTTGCCTGTAGGACTCCCAAGTCTACAGAACTATAGAAAGATCTTAAAAGTTCAAAATCTACAAAGACCCCAGAGACCAGATACCAATACAAATATACCTAAAGTCTTCAGCTGGAAAACCTGGACTCACAAGCAAGCCACACTCTGACCCCAAGTGAAATGCACCAATGACTCCAGCACCATTCCCCCCTCCCCCTTTGCTTAAAAAACTGCAAAACAGAAGGCGACCGTTTCAGACAAAAGAACTTTAAAAGCAGCTTGATAAAAACATGAACTTTTCCATTTTGAAAAGGTTCCATTTTGGTGCAAACCTGCATCAAAATTTTTCCCTGCTGTGCAAGTAGGAAAACTATAAGAAGTGAAACTCCTCTATCTGGCCTGAAGACAACAGCAGCCAGCTGAAGGACAGCCCAAAGTAATTAGAAGTGGATACTCCCTTATTGTAGGGAGGAGTCACATTACAGGGAATTCTAGGAGTTGGAAAAGGTGGAAAACATAAGCTACAGACCAATGTCTGCTTAACTGGAACTTAGAAATGCAATTCATGTTATTGTGTTTTCCAAGTAGTAATTTTTTTAGTAAGTCACCCTGGAAAACTCAAAGACAAAGAACCCCCATGACAATAAATGACTGTTTATACAACAGCAGCCCAAGACATGCCCCACCAGATTTCATGTGTGTGCCCCACTAACACATTACCTGAAAGCCAATGACCGGGTTTAACTGGCAGTGACTCTACAGGGGTGCAATTTCACACTAGCACAGGCCCTTCAATAGCTGAAGATTAAGCCTAGCACTTCCTGCATGCATTCGGTTTGATCTACCACGGAGCTCCAAGGAGACAGCAGCTTCTGTTTGTCTGTTGCAATGGCTGTATGCATGCATTTTTAAGAAGACCAGAGGATGTGCATGCAGGCTTGCTCTCCTGCACTGTTTATTTTTTTTTAAATAAGTCAGCAAGCTTGTGCCCTCCAGATGTTCTGGGCTTTAAGTCTCAATTCCTGAGCCCTGTTCATGCTGGGTAGGGGTTACTGGAATTGCAGCACAAAGTATCTGGGAAGCAACCATATTGCCCACCCCTGGACTAGACCTTAGGAAAAGCTCTGTAGCTCATTCTGTGCATGTGGACACCCAGGTGCAAACCCCAGCACTGCCAGGTATGACTTGTGGATTGCCCACACAGCATGAGAGGCTGAGCTAAACTGACCAGCACTCTGCCTATGCAGACTTTAAGCCCCCACAACTTTTCAATGGAGCTCACCTGTGGCAGAGGGGTACTTCTTAGCTGAGCACCAAAGGAAACCTACAAAACTGGGTCACAGCTTGGCCATTCTGCAACAGCAGCATTGCAACGACCAAGTGTGCATGCACATGCACATCTGTAGCACCCCACCCGCCATTTCATTCCAGGCTGATGAGCAGCCATTAACGAACCCGTTTTAAAGGACCCACCAGTAACCAGCTCCATGCCCTGTTTGGAGAAGCAGGGTGATGAAGCCACTGAAGGGCTGGGCCAAGGCTTGGGAAACCCAGATTCTAGTCCCCCACTTGAGGCTCACTGGATGACTCTGGGCCAGTCCCTGCCTCTCCACCTAACCTGCCTCACAGAGGTGTTTTGCAGATAAAATGGAGAGGAAGGCGGTTATGCACACCACCTTGGGCTTCTTGCAGGGAAAAAAGGTCAGGATATAAATGGATCTAGGAAGAAAGGAGAGCACTCAAAAGCACTGCTGAGCTACAGGTGGGTCCCGGCAGCTTTTGGAGAATGCAGACCATTCCCTACCAAAACCAAACACAGGACAATTTCTGCTGGATGAGGTCAAAGCCCAGATACCCATCGCCCCAGTGGCAACCCAGCCGTGCACAGAACCCGCAGGCGGTTAAGGGGGCAGCACTACTCCTGCAGCCACGCTCCCCAGAGACGAGTGCAGGCAGGCACAACGCGGCTGGTACCGGTGCCTGCAGAGAGCCATCGGGGCGAGTAGCCACGGGCTACCAGGAATTTGTCACCCCCCCTTTCGACGCCGTCCAAGAGGAGGATGCTGTTGCCCTCCAGGTCCGAAAAGGCTGCCTATAAGAAGGGGGCGGTCCAGCCTTGGCCAGACCCCGGGGCTGCCTCGGGGCAAGCAGGCTCCCCCTGGAAGAGGCAAGCGGCAGGGCACGGGGGGCTCCGGCGCCATTTCGCGCCCTGCCTGCAGCGCTACTCCGGGAGCGCCGCCGCTCCGCATCCACCCTGCTCCCCCTCCGCCTCCGCTTTCCCAGGCACAAAATGGCGGCGGAGGCCCGTCTCCGCCAATGGCGCAGGCAAGGCTGCCGCTCCCTCACCTTGTCGGTCACCAGCGCTTCGGCCGCCTCCTTCTTGGGCTCGTCCTTGTGGGCGAAGGGCGACTGGAAGGCGATCTTCACCATGGCGGCGGTCGGGCCTCCTGCCGGCGCGGCTGCACCCCGGGGGCTGTGGTCGGTCGCGCAGCTGCTTCCTCCGCCTCCTGCTGCTGCCGCCGCTGCTCCTCCGGTTGCTGCGCAGCGGCCTCTCCCCCGTTCACCTCGCGGAATGGGCGGGGCCTGGGAGAAGGGGAGGAGCCAACATCAGCATCGCCCTCCCCTTTCTTCCCTTTTCTCAATCCCTCACGTGCTCCGCCCCGTGAACGCATGCGCAGCAGCTGCTGCTGCTGGAGAGGGGAGAGGAGGGCCGCTTTCGCCTGGCTCCGGCCGAACCATGTTGCGCGTGCGCAGTGACGCTTCCTCGCCCCTTTAACTTCTCTGTGCCCGCTGTGAGCCAATCCCAGGCAACGGAACGGACGGCGCAAAAGAAGCGGGGAAGAGGAAGAAGAGAGGCCGCTCCCTATAGGCTGCGGATGTCACAATAAAACCTCAAGCATCTCAATGTCGCAACAGTAGTGAAGCAGCACGTGCGGTTTGCTTTGGTTGCTGCTTGCTTTTTTTTTTTTTTTTGCTTGCTAAAAAGGATGCACTCTTGTGCAGTTTTAAATAGGGAAAAAGCCCTAGAGCAACCAGCATTTCTCAGCCAGCCAATGCTGGGAGATATAGGACTCTTTTCCTGTCTAAACCCCATAAGATGCACCTTAAGTAAGTAGATGCAGCCGCCTGAATTGGAGGCACGACTGCTTCTATCTAACAGCCAGTTAAAACCAGGGAAGGAGAGCTTGCTTTGAACCCAAGAGCATGCAATAAAGTTTTTGGAAGCAAAAATGCCAAAAATGAAGCTGTTGTACTTCAGGCACATCCCCAAAAGGGAAAGTGGAAAGTGGAAGGGAAAGTGGAAGAAGGGAAAGGGAAAGTGGAAGAAGGAAAACCAAATACAAGATAGGTTGATTCTGTAAAAGAACCACAGCCTTGAGTTTGCAAGAGCTGAACAGGAAGTTATTTGTCCTGCCAGACAAACCTTGTGGAATTCTATGACAAGGTTTCGCGATGGCTAGATGGAGGGGATGCAGTGGATGTGGTATACCTGGGTTTCAGCAAGGCCTTTGACAAAGTACCCCATGATATCCTGGTGGAGAAACTGAGGAGTTTTGGGATACACCAAAGCACTGTCCGGTGGATTAGGGCATGGTTGGCTGACCGAAAGCAGAAGGCAACCATGAACAGGGAATCATCGGGATGGCGACCAGTGACAAGTGGGGTCCCCCAGGGCTCTGTCCTGGGGCCGATCCTGTTTAATCTTTTCACTAATGACATGGAAAAAGGGGTGAACAGTCTGCTGATCAAATTCGCAGACGACACTAAAACTGGAGCAGTGGCCACAACTGAGGAGCAGGTACTCCAGATCCAAAAGGATCTGGACAGACTATGGAAGTGGGCAGGAGGCAACAGGATGGCGTTCAATGTGGACAAGTGCAAGGTCTTGCATTTGGGGCATAGGAATAGCTGTCATAAGTACAGGTTAGGTGACAAGTGGCTGGAGAGCAGCACTTGTGAAAGGGACCTCGGGGTACTTGTTGACTGCAGGCTGAACATGGGTCAGCAGTGTGATGCGGTGGTCAAGAGGGCGAACGCCACCCTTGGTTGCATAGCCAGAAGTGTGGCTTCTAGATCGAGAGAGGTATTACTACCACTCTACACGACTCTGATGCGCCCACATTTGGAGTATTGTGTTCAGTTTTGGGCCCCTCATTACAAAAAGGATACAGCCAGGTTGGAGTCAGTGCAGCGTAGGGCCACAAGGTTGGTGGCCAGTTTGCAGGGGATGCCGTATGAGGCGAGACTGAGGGAACTGGGTCTCTTCAGCCCGGAGAAGAGGAGACTTGGAGGGGATATGTTGGCGACATACAGGCATGTGAGGGGATGTCGCATGGAGATGGGTAGAGACCTGTTCTCCCCTGCAGAGGAAGGCAGAACGCGCTCCAACGGAGCAAAGCTCAGGGAGCCAAGGTTCAATTTGGATGCCAGAAAGCACTTCCTGACAGTCAGGACCCCGAGGGTGTGGAATGGGCTTCCACCAGAGGTGGTTGAGGCCCCATCGGTGCAGGTGTTCAAGGATAGGCTGGACGTCCACATGGTGGGCATGTCATGAGCGGAGCCGGCTAGTGCCGGAGGTCAGACTAGATGGCCCGGGAGACCCCTTCTGACTCGCTCTGTTTTCTATGTTTCTAACATATCTGTTCAGGAGAGGATGGCCTGGAGGGCAGGCAGAGGGCATATGTCAGAGATGAGACTAACAAAAGCAGTAAATAAGCCAGCATGGAGTAACCCAGACTTCTGCAGCTTGGTGTCTTCCAGTTGCTTTGGTCTGCTATTCCCAGCATCTGTTTCCCAGCATGACTGGGGAAGGCAAGGGCAGAGTTTGATGGATCTGTGAACAGCTTGGCAATGTAGCTGATTTGCTCACAGCTCGGATAAGTAAGTGGCAGTGAAAAATTTTGTTGCATCTCTTGTGAGATAATCTGATACATCAGTCACATGTTTCCAGGGAGGAGGAATGCTGGAGTAGAATTTGGGAAATCCAGGTTCTGGTCTCGGCCATGAAACTCACTGCATGACGTTGGGCCAGGCACAGACTCTTAGCCTGACCTACCTAAGCTACCTTGGGTTCCTTGCAGGAGGAAGTAAGGTGAGGTATAAATGTAATGCATTAACAATAGTACATGTCTTACTTAGGGAAATTCAGTAAAGTGTGCTTCAGTTCTGTATATTTTCGATCTTTTTTTAAGAGTAGTATTTGGCAAAAGAGGCCATTTTTGTTAAGCTTTCTGATTCAGAAGCAGCTGCAAAGCCAGCAGCATGCAAAGTAATGAATACAGGAGAGTCCTGATAATGTGCAAGCACTGTCAAAACAACCAACTCCACACATTTGGGAACAAGGTGCTGACAGTGCTATTTCCAGCCTGGCTTCAGTTGAGATGCCTATTCATTGAGGGTGAACAAAAGCTGTTGCACTTGCTGAGACACCTTCATGCATTGATGACAACATAAGAAGGTTTGGTTGTTTGGTGTGTGTTCTTCAGGCACAACACCAACCAACAGAAGACAGAGCTTGAATTTCCTAGAATTTCTACTAGGTTATTTCTTAGCATTTTCTCTCCCGATACTGAGTTGCATCAGAGACCCTGTCTTTGACCTTAGCCTTTCTTTATGTGACTTTAACAAACAAACCTGAAGAATACTTACCAGCTTGTGGCCATCTGTTTGTTCAAACTCTGCTTTATGTTTGATTCTCTCCTTTTGCATGTTGTAAGTTTCACCAATACTCTCTCTAAGCCTACCTGCATACTTGCTTGGAGGTAAGGCCCACTAATCTCAATCGGAACTACATCTGGATAAATGTGCATAGGATTAGGCTATGTGAAGGTCTTCGAGATCATGGGACAATTCCTTTGGTAAGAACAAACGTCTGCAATTTTTCCTCTTAAAATAACACAGGCAACACAGACACTTAAAACCCAGCTGAAACACAGGTGTTTACCTCACTTAAATTCTTTAACAGCTGAGTTCAGACAACCCACCACTCCAAATTCAAGGGTTGTGGGTCAAGTGTGAGGTGTCATTGAACTATCGGATGCTGTTGAAAGATGGGATAATGTGCTGCCTAAACTCAGCTGTGCTAACAAGCCATGGCTTCTTAACCACGAACAATACCCTTGGTGTTTGTCAGGCCGTGAACGGTGGGTGGCTCACCATGGTTTATCTTGGCTGGGTTCAAACAACAAGACTACCCACATTTCAACAACAAGGCACAGTTCAATGACAACCCATCTGAGTGGGGTGGTGTAACATGGTGTCCTGCAACAGCAGGGGGTTGGAGTGAATGGCCTTCGTGGTCCCTTCCAACTCTACTCTTCTATGATTCTAACCCACACTCAACCCTTGATGCTGGATTATTGAAATCATTGAATTGTAGAGTTGGGAACGACTCAATAGTCCTGGCCTTGATAGCACACTGGTTTGTGTTTTCTGGGTTCGGACAACACAACAAGCCGTTACAATACCAAGAAACCGTAGAAAAGACTGTTGTTACTGATGATGGTTTAAACTCTGTCACACACATGTAGCATGCTGAAATACCACAACCAAGTTCAGACAATATGTCAGACTGACTTGCACGAAAACCACTCTTGCTTGTCGTGTTGTGTGCACCTGCCTAATGTTCATGCAAAGCATCCAGGAAAGCTTCGAGCTGTCTCAGTTGCTTTTGGGAATGTTTGTCACTGTGTCCTGATGCTGAGGGTTGTTTTCTACCTTGTAATATGATACGGGACGGAGCTGTTGCAACTTGGGGGTATTTCTAAGTGCACACGTTCTGTTCGAATTCTGTCCCAGGCATGAATTCACTAAGCCAGATTCCCCCAACATGGTGTCTACCAGAGATAATGACCTGGAAGCCTGATCACTGGGAAAGATGGGACTCTTAGTCCATCTCAACTGGAGAACACCAAGCGGGGAAAGGTTGCGAGAAGCCTTTGGTAAGCAGCACCGAGTCCTTCAGCTTTGGCCCTAAAGTTGTACCATGAAGTAAATCATACCTTTCAGGGTTGTAAAGATGCTGGAGGTGCTATATGGAAATATTTGTGAGAGTCATGTACCCTAACAGTGCTAAAGATTTCTATTATTAATAATACTCTTCTGTTACAAAGAGAGGCAGATTATTGCAGGTAATGGTGAAAAGTGTATTCTTGCCCTCTTATATATGTGACAGATAAGATGCTGAAATCTCTTTTATAAATCGTTTCTCTGGGCTGCTTTTCTTTTTTCCCAGTTTCTTCCCTTTTCTGTTTTCATTTCCCTTTTCTCTGAACAGAGAGTTGCACATTATGAGTAAGTGTGTGTGTGTGTGTGTGTGTGTGTGAGAAAGAGAGAGAGAGAGAGAAAGATAGTGAAAACCAACATAGAAAGTAAAAGCAGGCAAGAAGGAAAACCCGTTTGCCTTTGAACGAAAGCCGCACAATAATTATAACTGTTGTTTCTTTCCAGATTTAGGTGAGGAACAAGAAAGAGATTTGGATAAGATTACAAAAAAGAAGAAGTAAGAACAGTAGAGAAGGGAGGGAGACAGTGGGAGGGAGACAGTGG